TTCTTGGGAAGTTTGGAGGTAGTGAAGAGAACAAAAGAGCAAGGGCTGGCGAGAAGTGGCAAAGGAAAAAACTATAGGACCCCACTTTTGTGTGTGCATGAGAAAAATTATTGGGGGGATTCACGTGAATTACTGCAATTTTATTACCAAACTATTATAATTTACAATGTTTTTTTAGGTTTAAAAATATGGTAAAAACAAAATATTTGTTGAAAAAACAAACTCCATGTGTGGATGGTGGTGCTACGTACTTCTGTTAAATTCTTAAGAGTGTTGGCCGCTAGTGCAAGTGGAGATTACAATTTCTCAATATTTTCTTTTATCTTTGTCTACTCAATGTAATGGTAATTAACAAACGTTTCGTAAGCTTAATGTTACAATAGAATCTATATACAACTTGAGGCTATAACATTCGAAACAGTTTCAAAAAGACAAAAACTCTTTTGTGTAAGATGTACAAAAATATACAAAGAAATATTTACTTTGCCTAACTAGTCGTATTTCGTAATTTTTATTTTAATCATTGAGTTCCCTATGTCACATCCCTCACTTATTCTAACGAGCCGGCCCTGATAACATTGTTTCATAATGATTACTATTATACATCATCACTTATTAACGTCATGGCTAAAAAAAGGGACAATGACATTAATTTGGTTTGAATATATGCGTTGTTTTCTATCATAATATATGCTTCTGATTGGTTTTCAAGAAAGAACAAACATATACAGAAGAAAAGACTACTCAACCTCACAGGGAATCTAACTGTCGCAACTTCCACTTTTGTTTTTATGTTTTGTCTGAGAAAAAATAGTAATTATTAATTGAGAAAAAACAGTAATTATTAACTAAGGTTTTTTTTGCTGGTAACTCTTGTTGAAACTGTCTCGAAATTTGTTCTTACTAATGAATAATACTTTCACATGAAGTTTCTTTGCAAGACTTTAATAACAAGAACTACACATTGAATTTTATATTTAATCTTTCATTCACAAGATTTTATGTGTGTGTGTATCATGGTGATAGTAACTGTTGAAGGAGGCAGGAGGTTGCGTAGCTATGATTACGTCTTAGACGACGACTATGCAAACTTTAATCTTATAATTAAGCAAGTTGATTGTTAGTGTCCGGTATCTTTTCTCGATATAAAGACTTTAATTATTAAGAAATGAAAAACAAATGATTAATGTTGCTCTTGAATTGAGATGAGACATGCCTTGTGAAAGTGCATATTGGATAAGTTTTAGAATTCAGTATCAACTAATTCAAAAGAGTTGAGAAACTGATGGTAAATCAGCTAAAACATGAAGGTGTAGGTGTTGAAACAGTTTCCTATACCAGTTGCAAATATACTACAGAAAATGCTACAACGGACTGGACTGAGCTTGAAACCACATGGGTTTGAAGAGATGGGATGGACCAAACTACTCAAGTGTCAAGGACGAGCCTAGACGTGGAGTTGAGTTGGAGAAGTGCCTTGGAGAGGATTGAGCCGCATTGAAGACCTTCTTTATCTCTTGGCTAAGAATAAGGAAAGATTGGAGATTCTTGAAGATTCGGTATTATCTCAACTTGGAGACCAAGGCTAGGGTTGCCGTCATAGTGACATCCTATTATGTATAAATAGGGAGTCATGTTGTAAAGGTGAACCCCCATGGTGTGAGAGAATTCTTAGTAAAAGGTTTTGGGGGTTCTTGTAAAAACACAAAACAATGAGGCTAAGGGTTGGTATCAGAGAGGGCACTTATCCGTCTTTTATACAAATGAGATCTTGTGGAGAGAGTCGAGAGTTACAAGGTATTAATCACGTGCTCTACGATGATTATATGAAAGAATTATATGTTCTTATAATCTAATGATAATAATATATACTTTTATCATGAGATCATATAATTCTATCATTAAAACATAGAATTCTATTTGAGAATGATAGAATTATATCATTAAAACATATAATTCAATCATAAACATATAAAACTCTATCACGAATATATATAATTCTATCATAAGAATATAGAATTCTATAAGAAAATAAATTTCATGAGAATATATAATACTCGGATAATTTTTTTTGTATCACTAAATCATATTTTATCATAAACAAATAAAACACTGATGAAAATATAGAATTCTATCCTAGAAAACTAGAAATTCTATCATTAAAACATATACTTTTATAAGAAAAAAAAACAGAATTATATCACAAAACATAAAGATTTATCATAAAAACATACTTATATACAAAATACATAAAAATCTATTAAACAAACAAGATAAATACGTATCTCGCAGTTCACATCCAAATCAAACAAGAAGTTTAATAAGAAGCGTGGTCAGTAATTGGAAAAGAGCTCACGG